GTCTGGGATAGATGTCAAACTTGAAAGTTCTGTAACTTCCCCATGGAAAGAGAAGCAATTGGCATTAGGAAAACATTAATTGTAATTTATGTTGGGACTCTTACATGGCCGTCACCATTCTGGTTCTGGCTGGAAGATCCCACTGGCATTAAGTGCCATGAGAAATGCAGGAAAATATTTAGATACAGGGAACTGTCAAACACCGAAAGACTGGGCATCGATGCTTTTGACTGAATGAGGCTGAGAGAAAGGGCTTCTATCTAGCATTTCTAATCTTTCCTGTTACTTGTTTCCTTTTTTTTTTTTTTTTTACATTTCCCTCTCTCTGTCCTTTGGCTCCCAAATACAGTTCAGGGAGATGAAAAGTATATTATACTAGAGAAAATTCTGAGTAAGGCCCTTCCGTGGTAAAGAAAATGGAGAAGTATTTCTATGGGAAGATTTTTTTAAAAATGGACATTCCACAGACCGTCACCGTGAAGGTCATGTGTGCTTATCTGCGTGGTCGCCGTTTCTGCGCGTCTCCCTCATTCTCATGCGACCCAGCTTTCTACCTGGCACTGCAGATCTGCCTGAAGGGCCGCTTTTAACATTTCTTGAAGCTCAGGCCTGTCGGCGATGAGTTCTTTCAGTGTCTGTGTGTCTGGGGGAAAATCTATTTCATTTTGTTTTTGAAAGATTTTCACTCATTAAAGAAGTAAGTCAAAGTTGACAGCTTTTCTCTTTCAGTACTTTAAAGATTTTGCTCCTCTCTCTCCTAGCTTGCAGTATTTCCAGTGAAAAACTATTGTCATTCTTACATTTGTTCCTCTGTATGTTAATGTATCTTTTTTTTGGTCCGGCTGTTTTTAACATTTTTCTCTTTCACTGCTTTAAAGCGATTTGGTTATGTTGCGTTTTTGACATAGTTTTTTTCATGTTTCTTGTATTCGACTTACTGAGGGTTTATAATTACAATCAACATTAGAAACTCTCTGACCACTGTTTCTTTAAATTTTTCTGTCTCTCCCCTCCTGTGGGGGCCTCCACTCTCAAATATAGTTGGTTGTCATAATAGTCTTTACAGCAACAAAGAGCAGCTGGCATCCATTGCATGCCAGTTATGCTCTAAACACTTTACATATTATCTCTTGTTTATCCTTACAAGAACTCTGTGAGGCAGCCACAGTTATCCCCATTATAGAGATACCAGAGTTTCGAATGATTTTAAGTACTGGACTGATTTATTTAAACAGTTACAGTCTTTTTTGTTTATTTCATTTTTGTCTTTTAGTAGCAAATGATGAATGGGTAATTGCAGCAAAAATATCCAGTTTATTTCTTAACTGCTGCTTCTCACCATCCTCTACCCCCATTACCACACAGATGCGCCGTTTTCATTCAGTATGGAGTGACCACACAGGCCTCTGCTCACCCTTTTTTTTTTTTATTTGCCACTACATACTGACCCCTGTTTGGTACACCCTGGTTTTCAACTCCATTTATATTTCCTTTCTAAATTTCAGTTCATTCCAAGTATTATAATCACTTCCTCTTTCGGGTCTCTGCCAAGTCTTCCATTCAGCATCCCGTGTTTCCTGTTCCTATAAAATCCTTCACTGAGGAATTCATTGTTTCTTTCTCTGTGCCTGTCATGGTTTTTACACATGAATCATTCAGATATTTTCTGAATCTATCTTTTATCTGTGCACTACATGTATATAGAAGTTTTATACTCGCTATTATTTTTAGTGGTCGTCTGTATCCGACTTATGTACAAGAGATTAAAAGGACTTATCAGCCTACTGCAGTTGTTAAAACATTTAAATCTCTTTTATCACAGTGAGAAAAATCTTACTGTATTTCTTTCTTCACATCTCACTCTTTTTTAGGTTTTGTGGCAGTTGGATATATTCCGAAGAAGCTTGCGGGTTCTGACTGGACATGTTTGTCAGGGAGATGCCTGCATATTTTGTGCACTGAAGGTAACCTTTTAATAGTTCTGAAAAGTTAATATTAATTGTCTCTCCAAAAATTTAATTTTATTTGATAGTTTGTTTGGTCTATTTGACACATTTGGTTAGCTTATTTGTAATTAAAGTTCATTGTCAAGTGATCTATAGTTTTGAAGATGAATTCTTAAAGTATGCTTTATTGAGGTTTATGTTTTCATTTTTCACCTTTATATAATGACAGTTAAAATTAATATGCTAAATAATATAAAATTGTTGGGAACATCACACTTTTCATTGTTTTGAAATATGTAACTAATGTTTTGAGCTATTACTAAATACTGTGCACCGCTATAGTTACTGAGGATATAGCAGTGAACAAAATGATAAAACCCCCTGTTTTCATGGAGCTTATATTCTTTAGAGGGGAGAAAATAAGCAAAATATAACCGTCAGATGGTTAATAATTGGGAAAGGGAGAGGGAATGGAATAGAGCCGAGTAGCCAGGAAGCCTCACTGAGAAAGTGACATTTAAGTCATGACCTGGAAAAGGTGGCCGAGTGGACGAGAACATCAAGCGAGCAGGGCAGTGGCAACCGCAGAGGCCCTGAAGTGGGCAGGCGTCTGCCTGACGTGGTCAGGGAAACCTGGGCGCAGAAGCTTCTGGGCAAGGGCCAGAGTGGTGGGAGATGGGGCCAGCAGCCAGGTGAGTCGCGGTGATTAGGAACGTGTCTGCGGATTCTTCTGCAGTCTTCCTGTCAAACTAGTTCCCCGAATCTCGGCTGGCTTTCATGATCGTGTCCATCTAGTACAATGCTGCAGACATGAGGCCGCACGCATCTGAGGTGAGGTTAGATCAGGAAACGTGACAAAGCTTCCACCTGGCTGTCTGTTGGGCAGTCATTCTTGGATGTGAGCTGCCATACCGTGAGGAGGCCAGGCTGGCCACGGCTGCAGCAGAAGTCCCAGCCAACAGGCAGCGCCAACAGCCAGCATCAGCTGCTGGATGTTAATGAGCGACCTTCAGACAATTCAAGGTCCCAGATAACTCCAAGCAGAGCAGACTCGAGCTGCAGATTTGTGATCAGAGTAAATGTTATTTTTAGTAACTAAGTTTTGGGGTGCTTTGTCATAGAGTAAGAAATAACTGGAGCAGGAGTCCAGATTATGTAGGGCCTTCTAGGCCTTCGTGAGATCCTTGGCTTTTTCTCATGAGTGATGTAGGAGCTCGGGATAGTTTTGAGTGGAGGAGTGATACAGTCTATTTTAACTGGTGTTCTGTTTGGACTGGATCTCTTTGGCTGCTTGGTTGGGAATAAATAGAAGAGAGACAGAGGCAGAAACAGGGAGTCCAATTTATATTAGCATCTTATTTGTGTCATTGAATTCTTTGTCCGGCAATTTAAAGATTTTATTAACACATTTTCAGAAATAAACATTTCGTTCTTCTATTTACTTTCTTGAATATTCTTAATACACACGTGTAGAGGGGAAAAAAGCCATTTTCATGCTTTATTTTGATTTATGTTCCTAAAAAGACTTTGAATACATTTGCATGTATTTTCTTTTCTAGGACATGGCAAATTAGGGTTATCGTTACAGTATCACATTTTATTTACTCTGCAGTAAAATTGGAAGGTTTGGGTAATTGTAGAAACTAGTATAAATTTCCTAGCCCAAATCTTTTATAGCTTTACACAATCACCTGCCTCTTCCCCTTGCTTGCCTTCCCCACTCCACAAACACACACACACACTCACACACTCACACACACTCACTCACTCCACAAACACACACACACACACACATACACTTACACACACACACTCACACACTCACACACACCCACACTGCACTTTAGCCAGACTGGCCTTGCGGTTTCTCAAGTCTGGCTTCCATCTCTGAGTGTTTTCGTCGTTACTGCTTTTGTCTAGAATGCTTTTCTTCCAAATGTCCTCAAGGCTAACATCCTCATTTCCTTTATGCCTTTCCTCAAATGTCACTTCTCATCAGGAGTCCTTCCAGAACTACCCTAGGTCAGGGCTCCTCGCCCTCCCTCTCTCCTACCACCAGCCTCCCTATCCCTTTTACACTACCTTCAGTTTTCTCTCTTGTACTTGCCACATGCTGACATACTACTTATGTAATTACTCGTTTGCCCTCGCCCATTGCTGCAGCTGGAGTGTACGCTCCCTGGAGGCGGAGCCTTTGCTTTCCAGTGCACAGCAGCGCCTCGCATACACTAGGCAAGTAGAAAATAGATGGATGCCAGACGCATGAGTGGCAGTCTAGTGTAGATTAATATCTTAGACATTACCTGGAAAGTTAATTGCCTAAATAAGAAATGACATCTAAAAATATCTTCATTTTTTAGTATTTGTAATTATATCTAAAAAATTCTAGTTCTGGATATCTAGAATAATTTGGCATCTTTATTTTTAAATCTGATTTATAAATTACATTTTCTTGTAGTCGTGGGACAGATTTTTAAAATGTTTTCATAGCCTACCCTATGTTAATCTTAAAAAAAAATGTTTTCTGAAATGACACACCCCTTGAGCTAATTAATACAGATGTTAATATGACCAATCCTTATTTGATAAGTTGTCACTGAAAACCACCCTTTTCCCTTACTTTCTGTCACTTAAGTGATTGTCGTAAAACTGAAACTTATTAAAGTTATTTTTGCAGAAATTCGATAAGGAAAATAGAAAACACATTAACACCTGTAATCATATTTTCTTGAATGATGTTTCCACTGTTTCTTAGGCTTAGGTTAGAAATAATTCTCTAAGCAAGGAAAACTGATAACTTGGGGAAAAAAGTTTTTAAAAATAAAAGTAATCTTTTCCTTGTGCATTTTTTTCTTATAAAATGTACATTTTTCATTTTCTACAAGCAAATTTAATAATAGCGAGAAATTGCCTTTCCATTGCAGTTGTCTAATTTTTGTTTGTTTTTAAAATAGTTTGTCAGTTTTTGAGGTTTACTTAAGAAACGAAATTCTAAAAGTTCATTTAGACTATTTTAGCTTTTTGTTAGGAGTAGCAAACTTCCTCTAATTTTTATGTGATTAGGTGTTTATTTTTGGTAAACATAAATTTAATTCCTATAGTGTACTTTTAGATTTAAAGCGACGTATCTCAAAACTCTTCCTTAAACCTGCATCAGGATCAGCTAGGGAACATTTTGAACATGGGCCTCACCTCTGGTTGACTCAGAAGACTAGGGCCGGAGCTCAGAACTCCAGGCGTTTAGGGCTCATGCAGGCTGACGACGGACAGACAGGCTGGCGCAGCCTCACGTGACCAATACGCGTAAATCATTTTTGTCTGGAATTTTGGAGCAAAAGGCTTTTGCGCTGGCTTCCCAGGGTGGTGGTTCGAGTTTCTCCATGTCGCGGTGAAATGATGCAGGTGTGTTTGCAGTTGCTGGCGCGAAACTCACGGATGTGCTTGTCGATTCCCAGACGATTTTCGCGCAGTTTCAGCACAGCCGGGAGAAGGCCCTGCCCTCGGATAACGTGCGGCACGCGCTGGCCGAGAGCTTCCGCGACGAGCAGCGCTTCCAGCTGGGCCTGATGGACGACGCCGCCGAGTGCTTCGTAAGGCCTCCGATGCCCCCTGCGCCTGGCAGCAGTGTGCACTGCCTGAACGGTGCTCACTAGGAGACGGACGAACCAGGCATTGTGACAGTGGAAAAGGATCAGAGCCGCTCAGGGGCCCGTGGCCTGCCCATCCTGCACGGCGCAGTCTGCGGCCATCTGTGTTTTGCACACTTCTGGTTTTGATGATTTGCACGGCTCCAGTTTTTATTGAGTATTAGGCTACTAGGATATTTCAAGGTTTATTTATTGGAGCAGAGGGCTTATTACGTTGCATTCCGTCATTTTTGGGGGGTCGAGCCCCTAGGGCACTGTGTGCAGCACGCTCACAGCACTGGCACACCTAGTATATGCGGGATGCTGGCTGGGGACAAGGGGGTCTCGGTGGGCAGCAGCTCTGACACACACCTCGTTCCAGGTAGAGAGTCACTGACTGAGGGTGATGTCCTAAGACTCTGTCACCACCACATTGATAAGTGGAGCATTCCTTTGATCAGTGATGGACCTCATACCCCTTCTCAAATATGCATGTCGATTAACTAGTAATATAGTAAGTAACTAATAGTACATTCCAGTAATATAGATGCCCCCTATATTTAAGATGCAGCCATTTCTTCTCTTTGGCTTGCATCTGTTCTGCAAATTCTGTAAATTCATCAGAAACCCGTGTAAGGTTTTCCTTGCCATGTCGTTTCCCTGTCCCCACTGGCTCCTGCGTAGGCCTCTCTCAGCACGGTTCAAGCCTCCTCGTTAGTGCCCTTTCAGCCTTTTCTCTTGTAGTCTGGTTTTTAACGGCCACCAGATTAATAAAATTTTCTTCAGATTAATGCTTGTTCCTCAGATATTTCCGTGATTCACATCCAGACTCTCTTTTGACATCTGTGGCCCTTAGAATTAAACTCCAGCTTATCTCTTCCTCCCCGAATTTTCCCTCCTAGTGAGACGCTTACATCCTGTTCCTCAAACATATCTTTAAGTTCCTGTTTCTAAAGCCTTTGCTTATGCTCCTGAAATATTCAGAACTTTTCTAATCTATCATTTGCTGAGGTTCGGCCTAAGTCAGACCTACTAGATAATGACTGATCAAAGCACCCCCAACAGTTCTCTTAATTTCTGTAGAATTTGCTGTTTGTAGAATTTGTTTAGCGTTTATATGTTGTTGTTGCTTTTTAATGAGCGTCTTTACGTTCCTTAGATGGAAAGCACACTCCCCGTGTTGATTAAAATGTGTCAAAACTGCAAACAGTTGTGAGATGTGCTTTTCACATTTCTCATTTTTATAGTTGACCCATTATTTAAAATATAAATAAATGTATTTGGCACAATGCTGAACTTTATAGTTTTACTTTCACTTAAGTGTACCTCATAGAATAACTCACGGAGTATCTAGAAATCCAGGCTTAAATAATTGAATGCTTTTAAATGCCCTGGGACAGAAGAGGAGGAAGTTAGCTAATTAAAAGAATCCATTTTTAAGCTTTGGCAAAAAAGAGGATACCTTGCTAAAGAAATAAATACCCCTCGTTGACCTATATTACAAATCTGAGCTTTCATGTGAAGTTCGTTACGAGCAGATTCCTTGCATTTAGGTGTTAGTGCAGTTATTATCATTAATATTTACTGATATTTTGATGTAAGTTGTATAGACTATCCAGATAATCCAAGTAGGAATTTTTTTAAAAAATTAACTGCTTTTTCTCATTGTTAGAATGCTGGAAACAGGGAACTGTGTTTCTAATATTAAATTCTAGATATCAGCTGTCATGAGTTCATTTTCGAAAGGGTTTTTAAATCATGCATTATAATGTTTCTCATTAAATTTAAAAAACTAATGCTACAAAAAGTAAATAATTGAACATTTGAAGTGTTGATTGAAGATGAAAACTGAAAAGCCAACAGTATGTGTGTCCCTCCTAGATTTAAGACAGTGGAAATCTCTGAAAGGTTTTTAAGTTTGTAAAGTTAAAAAGAGTTGTATTTTGAAGTGTCCTCTGCCAGTTTCATAACCCATTTGTCTTCTGATTTTTAAATTAGGAAAATATATTGGAGAGGATTCATTTTCACATAGTGCCAAGCAGAGACTCAGACATGTGCACCTCTAAATCCTGTATCACTCACCAGAAGTTTGCTATGACTCTGTATGAGCAGGTGAGGTGGCCTGACTCTCTCGTTAGATATTATATTCCTGTTTGTTTCATAACTGAGAAATTGAACACATGTTTTTACCGTAGTGTGTGTGTCGTAGCTGTGGAGCGTCATCAGATCCCCTGCCTTTTACAGAATTTGTGCGGTACATTTCGACAACAGCCCTGTGGTAAGAACCTGTTAAAGCGCCTTTTTTCAGGAGTCAATGACACATTGAGGCACACTGAGTGAGCATTTATTTTCTAAAACCATAACATACGGGAATGTCTGCTCACTGTCTGGGACTATCAAGTACGCCACCATCAGAGGTACTAAGTGGTGTTTGTCTCAGTTGGGTATTTCCGAGTTAGTCAGATACATATACCACTTAGTGAAAGATACAAAATATTGGTCAAAATTATATCTATATTTATAGCAAGTTTTGGAACTGTAGAGGAGAGCTTAAAATGACAAGCTCAGTGGTAATTGGAGCTGCTCATGACCTCGTTTGTGCTAAGATGTTAACTTTGTAGTGGCCGTGTCTCCTGTCAGCCCCACCGTGTCTCTTCGTGGTGATGGGAGCTAGGGTAGGCAGGAAAGAAAGAAAAAAGTGAAAATAATCTTCTGTCAGGCTTAGTGTATATAAGGCCTCAACATTCACCTGGCATAAAAATGTGCCATGCTTGCCTGCCTGCCTCCTCCCTGCTGCCCATGAACCATGAGCTAGTTAGGGATCCAAAAATGATTCTTAGGCTTTGCGTAATAAGAATTGTTTGAGTACTTTCCATCAGGTATTAGAGAGTATAAATATTTGATTTTGATAAGCATTGAATAAGATCATTAATGTTTGCAGATATTTTAATACAAAAGGAAAACATGGATCAATACTCAATTAGACTGCGTCAGTACAGCAATTAGTTACTAAGTGCTCCCATATTTTTATCATCGTGCAGTGAATATCTTGTGCTCATCCATTTCATTTGATTATTAAATTTCCTGTGTTTTTTGGATATAGCACATTATTTCTTAAATATTTTTGAAGAATAACAATTAGGTTATTTGGGCATGTTTTGTTTCTTATGTAAACAGACTTGGGGAACATTGGTTTAGAGAAAGATTACCTAAAGTTCTGTTATTGGTAGGCTTTTTTTTTTTTTTCACTTTGTATGAAAAGTAAGATGGTGTTCGAACAAGGAGAGATGCGCAAATCGAGAACTGTAAAACTTGTCCACTTTGCGGCTCTTGTGCAGAACGACATGGTTCTGCGACGGGCTGGGACATGAGGGTTAGGGTCCCTCAGCCTCTCAAACTGCAAACTCTGGAAGCCCAGGCTTTACATTCTAATATTCTCTCTCTTTTTATTGGTTTTTAGTATTGAATATCAATTACTGAATACTTACTATGTGCCAGGCTTTACGTAAACTGTCACTTTTAGCCAAGACACTGTTTTGTTGATTAAGAAATAGATTTAATGAGGTTGATCTGGTAAATGAACAAATTAAGATTGAAACCCAAGTCTGGTTTCATTTCAAATTCATTACTTGTCTGGTCAGCCACTGCTCTGATGCTGTTAATTTTGTAAAACCATTATGTGCAGTTCGAATGAGACTGTCAGCTTTGGTACTTTCTAGTATACTTGTGAAGGGCTTAGAAGAATGAGTACTTTTGATCGTTATTGAATGTTGTGTGTTATTTAAACCATTGAACTATAAAACATATCCAGCTCTAGGCCAGTTATATTAAGTAGAACCAGACATCTCAAACAGAATTGAGTAAGGATATTTGAGCTTCCATTACATTTCTTTTCGGAAATGTTTAAATAGTTGTTTAAAGATTCTTAATACGTTGGCATGTAAGAATTTGAGTCTAGGAGAGGTCGAATAAAGAGTAGCACAGGCTCCCATGAACTGGTAAGCATTCGCGATGGAGCAGGAGGCACAGCCTGGTCTCAGGAGCTTTGGTTATGGCTTCTGCATTAATCAGCAAAGGGCCCTGCTCTTTGCTGAAAATGATAACTTTGTTTTCGGAAGCATTAGGCCAGAGAGGAGGCCTTTCCTGTAATTCGTTTCTCGTTAGGCCCACATTTAAACTCAAGTCCCTTAGTAATTTATGGAATAATTTAAGTAATAACGTAAGGGAAATGTTTGAACTTAGAACTACCTTTGGATGGAGCATCTTAACTCGCGCATGTAGTCCCAAACAGTGGTATAGTTTTGTGTCATTTTAGTTTGTTCTTGACCTAATTTTTTTATGACATAGCTGTCAAATTTCATGCTGTTTTACTTTATGGAAATTTATGGTTAATTTTTTTAGACAAAAATAATGCTTTAAGATAGAAAAAGTGATTATATGTATCCATATTGATAAGGTAGTATTTTTCATTCATAATTTATCAGGTCTTTTGTAAATATATAGGCCGAATTTGAGAAAGCTTTTTTCTTTTGTAGCAATGAAGTTGAAAGAATGATGGAAAGGCATGAACGTTTCAAGCCTGAACTGTTTGCAGAATTGCTGCAAGCAGCAAATACTGCTGACGACTACAGGAAATGCCCTGTAAGTATAATTTGGAGAATATTAGGATGCTTCAGAGTTTGTCACTTGGAAAATAGACACTACTATGGTCATATTAACTAGATATGGAATTCATTTTAAGAATTTATTTTTTTAGTGAGCTATTTATCTCAGCACTATTTCTTTAAAAACTTTGCGAAGAATTTAAGGTAGCATATGTTGATTAATTTTTTTAAAGTTCTGAAATCCATCATTTGACTAAAGACAAAATTAGTTTCTTTTTTTAAGTAAACACTGCAAATGGTATCCATTCTTTTCTCATGTATTATTATGAATGACTTCAGTGGTTCTATTTATGATTTTTTTTAGGTTGAATTCTTGTTTTAACAGAATATGCAAACATATCAAAGTACTTTGATTTAAAATAAACTTCCTGTTTAATCAGTGATTAAAACAAATAGGTCATTAGAAGTCCAATTTAGTATGCTGAATAAATAAATTTCCAATATACATTAAGAGTGTTATTACATAATACAAACTGCATAAGGCCGGCCACTTGTGGTCTGTCTGTTTTGACAATTTTAAAGCTCGCCTTTTAATTTTTCTTTAGAGTAACTGTGGCCAAAAAATAAAAATCCGCCGTGTGTTAATGAATTGCCCAGAGATCGTCACGATCGGCCTGGTCTGGGATTCCGAGCATTCTGACCTGACGGACGATGTCGTTCGCCACCTGGCAACGCACCTGCATCTGCCTGGGGTACCGCAGCTCTTTCCCCCCGACCCCTTTGTGTCTGCACTCCTCTAGACCATCTTCACTGACTGTACTGCCCTTCGCTCTCAGATCTAAATTGTCTTCTTGAAGGACATAATGTTCGGAGGTAGCTCTGATGATGGTAACCGGATCAGACTAACTGGAATGCCTGTCTTGCATCGGCTAGGGGCGGCTCTCAGTTAGAAACCGCCTGTCTCGTGCTGGATCTCATGTCACCCTAGAATGGTGATGACAGGATGTGTGTTGTGTATGTGCTATGATTAGAAATATAAACATTAACCTGGGAAGGGTTAAGAGCACTGATCATCTACAGCACTGATCTCTCGATATGCCTATTACCATCTTAATACATTTTGAATTGGTTTATGTTACAATTAAACTTTTAGATAATATTTTTAATGTATGTTCAAGTATGTGATTCAATCACAAATTTTCAGAAAGCGTGTGATTTATCTCACAGTTTGAGTATCTGTATGTAAAGTGTCAGTTCTACGTTATTGGAGAGACTGTATCGCCGAACTCAATTGTAGTGCGCTCATTTTATTGGACTTGTTGTTTCTTGTGGACTGGTCAAAAGGAGTAATTCTCTTAACAGAACAATGTCAGTGCAGTGGCGTCTTCATACAGTAGAATACCGGACTGGGGTAGTGTGCATGAGAAATGGTTTTTAGAGTCAAGTACATCAAATTATTACTTTTCATTTTTTAAAAGATGCAGTATTAAATGTACATTACTTTTTGAACAGCTTTTTTATAGGGTTACTGATGAAAATGCCAAAAATAGTGAACTTCACCTTGTCGGCATGATCTGCTACACCAGCCGACATTATTGTGCCTTTGCGTTTCATACCAAGAGTTCCAAATGGGTATTTTTTGATGATGCAAATGTGAAAGAGGTAAGAACGCTTTCACAAACTGGAATGTTTTACTGTTTTGGAATAAATGATATAATGATGATACATAATGAAATGTTAAAATAAAGACGTAATTGTATAAAATGATTACTATATACAAATACTTATAAAATAATAGTAGCATCATTAAGTTCACATTTCCTTTCAGTAATTCTTGAAATCTGTTTTACTTGAAAGCCAACTTTAAGCCAGTCCATTTCTAGAATAATAAAAAGGTGACCGACAGATGTTGATATACAAATGTGTAACTGTCAGGGATCCACACGTAGTCCTTTTGTCTGATGCATAGTTGCTATATGTATTATTTCTTTGTGGATGATTCACAGTTGCTTTGTATAAGTGCCAAAAATCTATTTTTTTTGACCGTTTTCAAATTGTGTGGTATTTAGAATTAGATATATGTATTATATCTTTCAATAAATAATTTACTAAACATTATAATATCTAGAAAACTAGCGAATAGTAGTTCTTAATAAGGAACATGTCTCACAATCATCTTCAGAGCTTTTTAAAAGCATATATGCCTGGACTCTCGAATTGTTGATTTAATGGTATAGGGGACAGGTATCTGGATTTTTATAAAGTTCTAAAGGATATTCAGACTTAGCCACAGTTGGAAACTCTCGATGTTGTTTACACCGTTCGTAGGCTTATTGGCTTTGAGAATCATTATTAAGCAGTAAACTGATTTTAAAAAATAAGTTGTTTCATGTTATAAGCAGACGAGGTACAATTCCCTTTACTTTCATTTTAATATATGGTGAGGCCAGTTATCAGCACTACTATTTACTAAGTTAGTAAAAGTTCAAATATGTGGTAATTATTGGACTTCTGACTCCACCCATGAAGGATTAAAAATTAGAATGCCAAATAGCTGAAAGGACTTTTTAAAACATTGGACAGCAGGCAGTCAAACCAAAAAAAAGTGTATAATTTTGCCCATTAATTTTTAATAATAGTGTTTAAAGATTTTTATTTAGACTAGTTATTAAAGAAAATAAAATTAACCATGTAATATGATGAACAATTGAACTAACATCTGAATGTCTTGAAGTTTTTTGATATGCAGATTAATTAAATCTCTGCCCGTTGATGAAACACAGGGATTACAGGTTTTGTTTTGTTTCATTCACTGTGGTTTTTTCAAAGGTTGGCACCAGGTGGAAAGATGTGGTCTCCAAGTGCATCCGGTGCCACTTCCAGCCCCTGCTTCTGTTTTACGCAAACCCTGAGGGGACAGCAGTTTCTACTGAAGATGCACTCAGGCAGGTCATCAGCTGGTCCCATTATAAATCCGTTGCAGAAAACATGGGTAATTCTTTTTAAAAAATTCTTTCTAGTGTTTTTTCTATAATTACAGCCACACTACAAGTGCTATCATATACTGAATATAAAATGAATGTTGAGGATAATTTCAAGTTTAGTTTCCTTAAGGTGGAGTTCAGGAAAATTCTAGTACTTGGAGTTAATCTTTATAAAGAAACCTTTCCATCTACGGCCATGCTACTCTGGTTAGTACTTGGGTGGGAGACCACCTAGGAAGACCAGGTGCTTTAGGCATAAGAAATAAAAAAATAAGGGATTATAAGCTGACAAGTTTCTTGCAATCTGTGAGGTCAACCAAGGGGGTCACCCTGCCTAAAAAAAAAAAAAAAATAGTAATTAAAAAAAAAAAAATTAAAAGTTAAAAAAAAATAAAAATAGAGAAACCTTTTCTCCCCAGTGGCTTCAGGGCCCGCCTGCCACTGCGGTCGCACAGGCACAGGAGGGCGTGCGTGGCTGGCCGTGTTTTCCAGTGGCGAGGATTGAGATGGAAAGCTCAGGGCTGCTAGGCCGTTCTCAGTGCATTACAGAGCACGGAGCAACCCTTAAAACATGTCGGATCTTGAGTTTCTAAGTAATTTCGTCTGCAGCATTAAAAATGTCTGAAAAAATGATTCAGACATCACTTCTGGCGGAAGGGGGGCCTGGATGACACATTTTTGTCTGTCTTTTTAAGGATGTGAAAAGCCCTCAATTTATAATTCAAAAGATAATTCAAAAGAAAATGGATTTGGTGATCAGGCAAAACAGAGAGAAAATCAGAAATTTCAAGCAGATAACATTTCATCATTTAGTCGGAGCCACATTCAAACAAGTGGTGGTAGAGGACCAGGTATGTGTTTAAATTGTCATTTTTACATCGTCCCTGAGTAGTCAAGCCTCCTCCTTTCTTCACTTACTGAATCTGGAATTCCTGGTGAGGACCACACAGAAGGACAGTGCATGACTAGCTGTCCGTGGCCATGAAGAGACAGTAACGAACATAATAAAATTTTGTCTTTTGATGTATTCATTTTTCTGAGACACGTAGTTTTATCTGAACTGTTTGCCTCGACCGGGTTTGAGTTTCTCCACGTACTCTGAGCTGTAGTGGGCTGGAGGCGATCTGGACTGTTACCAAAAACACTGTAATGTGTCCTCTCCTTCAGACTGTTACTTATTAACTTGGAGAGGAAGAACATGAGTTAATAATTTGGCTCCTAAGCCAAAATTAAATTTACCATTAGTGAATGCAGTAGTTCAAAGTTACTGTTGTAGTTTGTTCCTAACGTCCTTTGTATTCGACTCTCTCTTATCGTCCCACGACTTTTAATTTTCACAAACCGAGTTTGCGACTCAAAACTAATTGGGTGGATATTCAAGGTGATTTTGTCAGTAACTTTTAAATATATTCATGCAGTAATGTCTAACCACAAAAATAGCCCATAATCAAAGGTGATAAGATTCGGAATTAATCAACAAAGAACTACAAGAAGTACTTTTAAAAATTCTTAATAGAACTATACCTTTACCGTCTTAAGTGTGGGTACTCTTAGATTGAGCCATTATCTGTTTTTTAAAATATACCTACTTTTAAGCCCAGGAGCTCTGTATATGTTAAAGAACGCAAACATTGGAACCAGACAACTTGAGTCTCTAATCCTGGATATGTATTACAAGTGAGCTTGGACAAGTTTTTGACTTCCGTTTCTTGATCCAAAATGGAGACATTAATTGTACTCACCTCCAAGAGTTAAATGAGCTGAGACGTTTGGAATAGTGCCCGACACATATCACGACTCGGTTACCTTTAGCCCTTAGGAGTTCAGTAGGAGGTCTCGCGTTAGGAGCCGGACAGGAAATTTTAGAGGATAACTTGCCTCTCCAGTGTCAGGGTTAATACATTGACTCTTCTTTAGTTAAGCATTAAAACGAGTTCGTTGTGTACTTTAATCTATGTTTTGTTCGTAATATTTGCGTCTTAAATATTTTATACGGTTTAACTTGTACTTCTATCGAATGATTAGAAACGAGCTGCATCGTTATGAGAGTGGTTTCCTTTACAGTGAAGCTAAGTCACAGCGATCAAAGGGAAAAGATGAAAGGTATTTCCAGAGAATGTGCTCTGAAGGCCATGGAACAGAGAAACTTACTTTGCTCACAAAGAAGAGATCTGGAGAGGGGACAAAGGAGAGACTTGGGTCGACATAGAGGTGAGTGAAGAGCTCGTAGCATTCATTTGAAAAGGGGCAACTAAAATCTTGTTTTAAAACTAAATTGTATAGCTTTAAGACAATTTAATATAATTTGGAATATATTTATGTATTTGTATGGTATGTATCTTAAATATAATTTCTTTGATAGAAAGTCTGTAAATGTAAATTTATCCTTGCTTTTATTCAATTCTAGCCTGGAATGTTTGTTCGTTTTGCTCTTTTAACTTTTAATTATAAATTCACCCATGTGGTGTGTCCCAAAAATGAGGAAGGCTATCAAATTAAGTGAAAAAAAGCTGCTTTTCCTTCAACCTGGGACCTCCCTCTGGTGCCCTGTTAGTAGTTTCCAGTTTGTTCTGAGCCTGTGTCACTCTTCATGGTTTTATGTTTGTTTTTTTTTTCTCTGTGGACATACCATAATATAACCGAGACTGCTGGACTTGAGAGGTTGATTTAAGGCTTTTGCACATTCTTTCACATTTAGCTCTGTGTACTGTGTGTGAATAGCCATAGCATAAACTTCTTCCAGAAGCATTACTGGGTTAGGGTACGTTTATTTTTAATTCGATGGATGTGGCTCACTTGCCCTCCTAACTCTGAGCTAGTCCGTGCTCCTGCCCGTGGTGGTTGCATATAAACTCCTTCATGCTCCCAGCAGCAGTCGGTTCAACAAACCTTTAAATCTCTACCAATATAAGAGGTGGAAAATACTTTTATTTTTATGATTTTCATTAATTATGAGTGAGGTAGAACAGTGTTTTATTTTTAAACTACTTTAATTATCTTATGCGTAGAGATCACTTTTAAAAATCAGTATAACCATTTATGTTGTCAATGCCTCTCATTAAGCTCAGGGCTGAGAAAACACTTTTCATTCTCAAAGCGCTGTGCGATACGATTTAAGCACTTACGATGATCACTTACCTGCTACCGCTTGGCATTTCTTCTCAAGCAGGGTATTTGGCTTGTGAAAAGCAGTTTATTCGTACCTTTATATACTTATTTATTTTTAAAGATTTGGTTGATGAAGACATCCCACATTTCCAGCCTGGATCGCCTCCTGCCCCCAGCGGCTTTAGGCAGCGTGGCCGTCCACCCGTGTGTCACAGTCAGGCGAGAGGGCCGTGCAGACACGACCAGGCTGCCCAGCAGGGCCGCGCTGCTGCCCAGATGCCGAATTCCAGGAAAGCCCAGATCCTTGTTCCGGGAGAGAAACCTGGCAAAGTTAAGAGTGACGGTGGCACTGGGTATGACACAGACAGTAGCCAAGATTCGAGGGATAAAGGAGGCAGCTCTAACGGCAGCAGTAGGAGCCGGAACCGAGGCTGGAAACCTCTGCGGGAAACCTTAAATGTGGACAGTATTTTTAATGAAAGTGAAAAAAGGCAGCATAGTCCAAGACATAAGTCAAATATCAGTAACAAATCTAAATGTAGCAAAGATCAGAGTTTTAACAACTGGCCAAAAGAGAGTCCAAAGCAAAAATGTTTAATGACCATCTATGAAGATGAAGCAGGAAGCAGGAGCTCCCTGGAATGTGATGGAAAAGGAGCGGAGAACAGTACAAGCCTCAAAGAGACGAAAGCCCACGGCGACCGCTGGCAGATGCAGAGGACTGAGTCTGGGTACGAGAGCAGCGACCATGTCAGCAATGGGTCTGCTAATTTGGACTCCCCCGTCACAGATGGAAATGGTGCAGTCTTGGAGCTCAGTGGCGCTGGAGACACAGCACCCTTCAGGTAATACACGGAGTAAATGACGGAGCTCCCCCAGCATTCTCGTTGATTATTTGCAGTAATTCTTCAAGTTTGGGTCAGTTCAGTGTAATGGGAAGAGCTTGAGCTCAGAGTAAAGGAACCTGGGATATTGCAGGTTATTTGATGTTCAGGTTTCTATCTCTAATCATTTTTTCCTGGTCCACCCCCCCCCCCCCCCAAAAAAACAACAACTTTATTTTTAGGAAATTTGAAAGTATAGAAATACATTATAATTTTTGGCACTGGAAACTATCGATACGTAGTATGGATTTTAAGCATAGATATAAATTGATCGCCTCACTAATTAAGTAAATTGTTTAATTCTTCAATCTATTTAATACTCATTATCCCATCTCTAACTTCTGTAACTTGGAACTGGGGTAATTTTATACTGTCATTACCCAGTTCTGTGGAAGAAATATATATTTTTTTCTTTTAGCAAATATAAAAGAATGAAGCCAAATAACTGAGTTTGTGTTCAATTAATTCTTAATTCTGAATATGTCATATTACTGTTAGCAGTCTGTTCTCACTCCTCTGTGTATTCTCTAAGCTATGTCACAGCTTAAGTGGCTACTGTCTCAGGTTAGTCTAGCCACCACTGCTTTTAATCCATCTAAAACATCTTGGTTTCATATTAACTGGTGTTTTACCATCTTCATTATTAAAAAACCAGATTTGCAAAACTCATCTGCTCCTGTTTTATTAAAATAATCGGGGAAACTTTTTTATTTGGCAGGATAATTTCATAACACTTCTTGGAAAGGAGTAACTTAGGGTAGTAGAAAGATCAGGACTTTGTAACCAGGTAGGCTTGGATTTGAATTATTGAGCAAATTCATATGACTTTCACAGCCTTAATCTCCTGTTCTAAAATGAGATTTTAAGCGTCGCTGTGAGATGTAAGTTAAATAATGTTCACTAAGCCCCTAGAACAACACACGGCAAATAATAATTATTTAACAAATGTTATTTCCTTTCTTTCTCTTACAGTAAACTAAAATAATAATCCACGATAGCTGATGTGTCTGGTGCGTGTTTTGTTCTCTTTTCTAGTGACCAGATTAAGACATGCAACGTAAATATAGAATGTGTGAACAGTGCCTCCCAACAGATCAAAAACCACTTAGAAGGTAAAGTTCTCGTTTAAATATATTGCGATGGTAGCAGTGAAGAATAAACCATGCTGGTGAGAGTCAGGGGCAGCCCTGCTGCTGACAGGTGTGTGGACAGTGAGCCCAGTGGTCGGGAGAGCTCACGCTGGAAGCCCTTCAGGGACGGGGAGCAGCCGTTTCAGGGAGCGGGAAGGGGGAGTGTGTCACCCGGGATCAGGGAGTGGGAAGGGGGAGAGTGTCACCTGGGATCAGGGAGCGGGAAAGCAGGGAACGTGTCACCTGGGACAGGCTGGTCCAAGGCCGTACAGCAGTGACAACTTGAGCACCTCAGTGTTAGAACACAAGTCTGCTCCTTGTTCACGAGCCGTGTCCGGTGAGAGTCCGCATGCTGTCCCTGCCTGGTGGTGACGCAGGTCCCCAGGCTGACGGGACTGCACCCCACACGTGCCTGGATTGCCGCGGGGAGATGGGGTCGAAGGAGGACACAGCAAGGAGAGCCACGTGTAAGGTCCTAAAACTTCACCCAGAGGCCACACGCGCACTCCACACACACCTCAGTGGCCAAGGCCCATCTCTGCCCGGCTCGTCTCGGAGAGGGTGGAAAAGTGCCATTTTACAGGTGCCTGGAAGTGGGACTGGAATAAGTGTGAGCAGTCCTAATGAGAACTGCAGAAACCAAGGACCAATGGGGAAAGTGACGAACAGCCTGCTGGGAAGGTTCAGCTTGGGACCCATGAATATGTAACGGTGTGGCATTACTGTAGGCGAGTGGTTAGCAGCACGCAGCAGCCCAGAAGCAAAGAGAAGTAGGTGTTCAGCTGTGCACAGAGTCAAGGGTGTTGCCGAGTGGCCCACCTGGAGGACCTGGGGGAGAGGGACAAGGAGATGATGTTGGGGGGTGGGGGGCGGCTGCTGAGGTTGCCGCCAGAAACAGTGTTTTGAAATTTTAGGATTCAGAGGGTTGGCAGGGATATAATTTTTCAAAATAAAAAATAGCCATGAAAAACAAATTTTAAAGTTTGTTTTTAGTCTTTTATCATCCTGAAGGCTTTTGTGGAGATTATTTTTCAGGTTGCAGACATTGATTAAGTGATGAATTATTTTGTTTTCATCAAATGGTATAATATCAGAAGGAAACACTTATATTAAGGAAGTAACCTTCCTTTCCTATATAAAATGTCTCGCCTGTTTCAAAAGTCTGATAAAAATCCGGTAACCAAGTATTACAGGAAACAGTAAAGGGCTGGCCAGAAATCAGCAGCAGAAGTTGGCGAGATGGAACAATACCGCAGGGTCAGTGCTCTTCACAGAACGCGGCTGGCTTCCTGAGAGTAACGAAAACACGGGATCGTAGAGAGGGTGATGGTCCAGAGTGCGTGGCTGAGGAGCGTGGATGTGGGTTTCACCGTTTAATGTGACAGAGATGTACGTAACCCACTTAGAAATGACTTTTTTATCGTGGTAAAGCACACATCACAGAATTTGCCATTCTAACCATTTGTAAGTGACAGGTCTGTGGCTTTAAGTGTATGCACGTTGTGCAGTCATCACCGCCATCCATCCCCAGAACTCTTTCATCTTCTCAAACTGAAGCTCTGTCCCCATTAAGCACTCACTCCCCGTCCTCCTCCTCCCAGCCTTAGTGACCACCATCTACTTTCTGTCTCTATGAATCTGACTCCTCGAGGGATCTCAAATAAGTGGAACCTTAACCGTAGCTGTCTTTTTGTGACTGGCTTACTTGACTCAGCATGATGTCTACAAAGTTCATTCATGTTGTAGCATGTGTCAGAATTTCCTTCCTTTTTAAGACTGCATAGCATTACATTGTATGATATACCACATTTTTGTTTTTCCATTCATCTGTCGAGGGACATTTGAGCTGTTTTCAGCTTCAGGCCATTGTGAATATTGATGCTGTGAGCACCGCTGTACAAATGTCTGAGAATCCTTGCTTGCAGTGCTTTTGAGCACATACCCAGAAGTGAAATTGCTGGATGCTTTGGTGAGGCTGTGTTTAATTTTTTGAGGAATAGCACAGCATTTGCACTATTTTACATTGTTACCAGCAATGCAGAAGGTTCCAGCTTCTCTACATCCTCGCCAACACTTGTTATTTTCTGGGGTTTTTTGGTTCATTTTTAATAATGGCCATCCTAATGGGTGTAAAGTGGTAGCTTATTGTGGTTTTGTGTAACCCACTTATTAAGTACATAAATTGCATATGTTCAAAGCCTACCATAGTTCTTTAAGCCAGTCTTTGCCTTGGTTAGTGTTCATGCTTCGGGGTGTCCGTGTGTCCCCTCCCCAGATCTAGATAAAAAGATTAGGCAGTTAGGAACATACGTCTGGAACTCAGGGAAGATTATGCCCTTGTAACCATCTACGCATTCTGGAATTGAGTAACAAACATGGACTGCATCGCTCAG